AATGGTATTAACTGCGGTATGCACTCCATATTCATCAGCTGACTTGAGCCCATTTTCCACCTTTATCCATCGACTCATCAAGAGTAAAGCCGTTGCTGAATTGGAGTTTAATGACAGATTTCATGAATTATGATGCAATTATCGTGGAAAGACTCGTCGCTTTTCCATTAAGAAACAAGTCAAGGCATACTTCAACAAGAAACTGTTGGCATCTTCAAAACGAAAGTTAGTACTATATAACAAATATAGTAGTATATGTTGTGTTTATCTATTTCGCAATGAAGGAAGGTGAGGCATTTTACCATATCATATTTTATTGTGGGATCGACTATATTGACTACATCAATTATTCTTCGTTTTATAAATAGGATTTCGAGACTACCATTTGATCATATATGTGAGGCGTGTCCATCATACTTCTTTTCGACAACTTAACCATAGAATGTGAAAATGTCTGACCTTTCTTTAAATTCACTTCTACCCTGTCACGCAAATGCACTCACGGCAAGGTGGCCTAGTGGTTAACGTATCAAGCTCACATGTCTCACTGTCACGGTTCGACTCCCGCTGGGGGTTTGATAAGACCGAAGCGAGGTCGAAACTGCAGTCCACTGGTGCCTGGATGAGAAAAACTTTTGGAAAGCAAGGCAATGTGAAATTCAATGGAAACGTCAGCTCTACTCATAACATCTTGGAAAAATTCAACTACCGGTCCTTCATCAACTTAAACGAAATATGCCGAACTCAACTCACTTACTCAGCTTTACCTGTTGACAACAAATTTATCTCTCCGTCTCGATTGCAGTTTCGACCTTACCTTGGTCTCATCAGCACCCAAAACGGGCTTCTATGTCGTGTCGTGACGATTGTGGCCCTGTTACTATTCCTCTATACAGTCTTCTGTGAGGCAAGGCTTAGTGAAATGCAATTGCCTGCTGATCTTGCTGTGGAAAAACTCAACTCTCAGTCCTAAATTCCTCCTGATCGACCTAAACTTACTAAACATAGATTTGATGACCAAGATGCTGTGGCCTCTATTTTGGTCACAGTCTCCTTTCGATACAAAGAAGTTGTCTGACCCAATTTTGGCAACATTATCGTCTTGTCAGGACGACTTGGTTGGACGAATCTTAATGAGATGTATTCACCCTATTTCGTGTAAGGTGATGAAGGACTGGTAGTAGAATTTTCCCACA